TTTTGTCATAAATAAAGTATTTATTTAAGAATCAAAAATAATAGAAAATTTTCGAAATAAATCTTGGTAATCTTGGTTTCTAAATAAATATCAAATGACAGGAATTAGGAGAGAAAACTCTTTTGCAGTGTTGAAATTCTTAATTTAAGAAAATCTTGAATACCTTTCCAACGTTGCAGGCTTGGATACCGACCTTATGAATTTTAATTTGGGTATTTAATATTCAAAAGTTGTTCGATTCGTATCCATGCGATCGCGCCATATTTACGAGCAACATTCATAAGGCAATGAATGCTCGATAATTCAGCGTTCATTAGACCTTATTAATTCCTCTGTGGATTTCGCACGACAGAAGAATAAACGTGAGAATTTCTTTTTCTTTTCATGCTTATTAACATCGCGTTTTATAGTACGAAGCAGGTTCTCCATCCCTTCCTTCCGTTTCCGCTTCAATTTGCAAATTTCTGTTCAACTCGTGAAGCCTTTCTCTCTATTATCAATGCATCAGTCGATTAAATAATCACCTTCTCGACCATCAAAGTATTTAACAACCTTAAATAAATTAAAGAATATTAATGTAAAATATGGTCCAAATTAGCGTAATTTTCTTTTCTTAATTTCAACAAAAGAGAAATTCAGTGGATCCATTGATTGATCTAATTCGATTTATTAAACGGTTTCAGTATAGTTCGATTCCTCTGTCAGATACTGAAAACCGACTAGTTTTCTATCTAGAATATCTCAGATTAGCTCATGTTCGAAGTTGTCTTACGCTAGGTTAGGTTACATTATACTTACAGAGGAGAAATTTTTCGTCGAGCATATATCCGAGAATCGTTCAAGAATCTTGTCATGATCGATGACACGTATTGTCTCTGTCACGGGTATCACGTCCGCGTAGTTACGTGCTTGCAAGCGGAAAGCTTGTCTACATCGATAGGGGAAGCTTGAAATCTATATTACGAAGCTTTGCCTTCGTGGATGAAGTTGCGTTCAGAGCGAACGTCTGGTGAAAGTTGAAGAGTCGCCTGGCACATCCTTGACGTTTCCTCTTGGAATATTAATGCGTCGAATTAGAGGGTATTGGTGTAATTTGTATTCAGAAGTTTCATAGGGCGAATAATTTTCCACGAATTTCGCAAAGGATCGTCCAAACTTGCGTCCAACTATGAGAAGATGCAGTACCTTGAACTAGGACCACTTCTCAGATCAGATGAATCAGCTTGCTTCATATTTGCGTATCCTAAATGCGATGTGTATCACGGATGTCGTAAACTTTAAAGTGGAGACACTGGTCTGAGTCCACTCGATAGTCTTGTGAATTTGTACTCCTTGAAAATCGAGTATAATGACTTGGCAGGAGTTCATTTGAAGTCTGTAGATTATACCGTATAAACCAAATTCGTTTTACGACCTGGCATTCGGAAATTTTTAAAATACAAGTCCGTAGATCCATTATCTCAGATCTTGAACGAAGATTACACAGCTAATACACGATACCACCATAGACATAAGTCTAAAATCGTGGACTCTGGACTTTGAACTCAGGACTCTGGGTTGTAGATTATGGGCTCTGGACTTTGGACTCTGGACCCTGGACTCTTCACTCTTGACTTTGGATTCTAGATTATGGACCCTGTGCGCTGGGCTTTGGATTCTGGACTTTGGACTCTTTACTCTTGACTCTAGATTGTAGATTATAGGCTCTGGGCTCTGGGCTTTGGAGCTTTGGCTCTGGGTTCTGGATTCTGGACTCTTTACTTTGGATTCTAGGTTATGGACTCTGGGCTTTGGACTCTGGACTTTGGGGTCTTGACTATGGACTCTAGACTCTGGACTCTTCACTCTTAACTCTAGATTGTAGATTATAGACTCTGGGCTCTGGGCTTTGGAGTTTTGGCTCTGGGTTCTGGATTCTGGACTCTTGACTTTGGATTCTAGATTATGGACTCTGGACTTTGGAGTCTTGACTCTGGATTCTAGACTCTGGACTCTTCACTCTTGACTCTAGATTGTAGATTATAGGCTCTGGGCTCTGGGCTTTGGAGTTTTGACTCTGGATTCTGAATTCTGGACTTTGGAATCTGGGCTCTGGGCTTTGGAATCTGGACTCTGATCTTGGACCAAGAATTCACTGACACAAATTTATGTTTTGAACCTCAGCACGTGGTCACCAGGTAGAGTCCAGGTTGAGATCGAGAACTGAGTCAGATCTGAAGTTCGATGTCCAAGATACAGAGTTTCGAAGTCTCGCGTCTCGTACCCACTGATCTGAAATTTGTTATTAGGTATCACGAAGCTCGAAACCATACAGTCTCAGAATAGTAGTAGGTTCTACTACTTTGGAACAATAGACGAGAGGTCCCATAACCTTTGTATAATCAAGGGCATAGTTTACATGTCTGAGTTTCACAGTTTGGGTCTCATGTCTGCGTGTTCTGCAGCCAAGAGTTTCTTTGTAACAGGTTTTCGAGTTTGCGTTAGCTTTAAGCTTCAATAGACCTAAAGATCTGCATGTACATAGCCAAAGGTCAGGTGATAAATTATTCTTCGAGCCCAATGCAAATGTCATAAGTGCAATTCTTAGCATTGACGTGGTAGAATCCTTTCAATCGGTACTCTCGATTGACATTTCGTAAGTAAGCTAATAAGAGGAAAATAGGATGATAATTTTATGGTTAAATGAATTTTCCATTTCCTATTTCCAAAAATTCACCATGTAATATGTAATTATATTTTTGGAAATCTTTATAATCCTTGCGATAACTTTTTTCTTCATCATCTTCAACCTAAATTAATAATCTTCCGCTATTAGTGGTTCTCGATCTCCTTTTTGGGGCTCCATGGGGAATGCTTTAATCGCTTTCAGCGGTTATAGAGCAGAAAGCTTACGTCGACGTTATCGCGGGGAAAGTTTCCGCTTTCTCATGTTTAAATGATATCTTCGTAGTTGCACGTAATTTACATTTTTCTGCCATATAGTTCCCCGTTGCTCTAGAATTACAAACTGTGCGTCATAAAACCGTGCATCCTATGAAATTCTGAATCAGTGATAAATTATTTTGCGTCACTGGTGTTGACAAAAGTCAAATCTTTCGTTGAGGATGCTCTGAATCAGTGATAAATTATTTTGCGTCACTGGTGTTGACAAAAGTCAAATCTTTCGTTGAGGACGCTTTTATTTCCTGTTTTATTTCATAATCAAACGTTTCGCTTATATTATCATCATTTTGAAAAATTTCTTCGTGCAGGACAGTGAAGAGCTGGTTGGATAAAATGAAGGTTTCTTATCGTGGACATTATGGGTACTTTTAATTGTTTGAACCACTGCAGTGGTTTTTGTTTTATGGGATGGACAGATAATTAGGAAGATCGGAATCAAGTAGAAGATAAGACACAACAAAGTCGTGCATGGGGTCCATTTCTCCATCGAATCGGTAAATTGCCTTTTACTAATAATCGCGTCCAATCCCATGTTCAAGCAATTCCCCACGAAGAGTACTCGCAATTGATTTCCAGGACTCGAACTACTTCTAACCCAGATATCGATATTAACCCTGGTTTAATTTAATCTGCAGCTAGTCGAAGGAATTTTAATGTCCTTTATACAATTTCGTCCTCGGACGTTCGATACGCAACTGATATCGAATTATACGTGACTGATATTAGAATTATAGGGCACGTGTACTTTGAATTCCCTATGGACTCTCTGAAAATACTATAATGGAAGTATTCCCATATCCCGAAGAGATTCGACATTTTATTCGACTTTAATTTAAGTTAGGAAGTTTTGGAAATTTTAATTAAAATTTTTAGAAGATGTAGCTTCCTTCTGCCGTGAAGTTTAAACATTTTATAGAATTTTGTTAAATTTTAAATATTTTCAAATCGTTCTCGTCGTTCGCAAAGTATTTCCCTGCATCCACACCCATTTCACTCGAATTCATTTTCCACTCGACTCGGTGCTCTAGTCGCGACGCCCGAATTAAAATTCTCCCGTGCTCCATGCTCCGTGCGGATTATCGTCCAAGTGTTGCCGCGAGCAATTCGATACACGTTTCCAGAATTAAATTTACGCTCTTTCTTTCTCTACGCTTGTACTTTTTTTTAGGAAAATAGAGGCAGGATGTAGAGTCTCATTAGAAGACGATAGACACGTGAATAGATCGATCTTGCTGCGGTCTGAGGGTACTTTTTTACTCGATCTAGTTCAATTTTCTTCCAAGTGTTTTGTACATCGGATCCTGAATTAGGCGAAGGATACCACAGCATAGGTTTTCAAAGGAAACGCGAGAATATATAAAAATAAAAAATAATTCGTTTAATTGTAATTTAATTCGTTTAAACACGAAAAAATTTCTACCTACGAATATCTATTAAGGAAACGATTTCTTAATAAGCGATGATAAGGATACTAAGTGGTATCTCATTCCTTTCACAGTTTCCAAAAATTACCATTGACGTATCTCAGATATTTCCTCCTTCTCTCTGATAAGTTATGGCAACAGAGTTTTACCAAGAATTTCCCAGATACGATCGAATAAGAAAGACCCGTAAACCACAATGGAACGTGGAGAGTGCGTCATGAATATCGTGACGGTACCGAATGATTCGAACAGGTCATGAATAACATTCCCAACAATGGATGATCACGGAATTCCTCGCTCGCGGGTGAAATCGTACAAACGCAGCCAACTGTTCGTCAGAATCAATCATGAGTGGCAGAAAAATCCATGATACGTGCCAGAGACTCTAGAAGAAACGTAGACCAACCCTACAATCGATCTCCAAACCGCGAATACGCGTCGAGTCCACGCGATCCTGACTGACGAATCGATCCTCGACAGACCTCGAGGACGTGCTGTTCGTCGTGAGAGCTCGGTCGCACGGCGTACCAAGGAAACGTGCGATTTTTGGTGTCTGGTAAGGAGGATCGTTCCATAGGAAACACCGATCGAGACCGGAAGGTACGTAGGGAGAAAAGAATCGGAGTGACTCACCGCGTTCCTGTGTGGCCATTGGAACGTCTTCCGCTGCTCTCCTCGTCCTCCTCGTCTTCGTCGTCCCTCGAGGTCGCCAGTGAGTGGGGAACAGAAGAGGGAGCACTGCTACCGGAATCGGGCCCAGGGCCCATCCTCGAACCGGAAGCACCGCTGCAGCCCGCCGAAGACGTCGACAGACCACCCCCTCCCTGGCCCTCCTCGTTCTCCGCACGATCCACCTGAATAATATTTACAATTTTACTCTTATTTTCATTTTTATTTCCTTATTTTAAATCGATTTTAAATCTTTCGTCGCTCGTTTACCCCTTCGCCTACGATATCGTGCGAGACACGTGGTAAGGGGATCGGGTCAAATACGAGTATCACGTGTGGGAGCCGTGGTTTGTAGACAGGGCCTAACGTAAACAACACGGGTTAGACTCGTGGTAAGGAAATCGGGCCAAATTCGAATATCACGGATGAGAGCCGTGGTTTGTAGACAGGGCTTAATGTAAACAATACGGGTTAGGCTCGTGGTAAGGAAATTGGGCTAAATACGAGTATCGCAGGTGAGAGCCGCGGTTTGTAAACAGCATCCAATGTAAACAAGGATCGTGGATCATTTTCGTCTATGTCTTGCTGTTTCGGTTACGTGTTATTCTCGACTTTACTGTTGATTATTAAATCATAAGAGAAGGGGTTAATTCGATTTTCTTCTATATAATTTAGAGAAAATAGTCGTAAGTTTAGAGAAGAATCGATACTAATTTTGCTACTACGTTGCTGATTAAATATGTATTATGAGGTATTATTGAAACTATAATAATATTGTCAGTATAGAATGTGTAGAGAAATGTGTAGAAATATTTTTGGATAGTAAATGTGGAGGTCAGAGACTGAAGGATTAACGACGAGTAATTAGTTTCTTATTTTTGTATTAATTATAAAATTGCCTCCATGCAGTTGAGACCTAGTCTAATTAGAATTAATAGGGAAAATCGGTATCTTCAAAAATTCCATTTTTAGTTTAAGTATGACAGAATATTTCTATAAATTATTAGACAATGGGACGAGACAATTGAATTAATAGGTCCATAGATGTATCTTCCCGCATCAGTTCGACGATAATCAGTAAACTGACCAATTTGTCACGGACTGTTCATCCAAATTACTGTAACTGTAATTGAATTCATGTACAATAGGTGGACGCACTGTTGTATGTGGTTACAGGCTGACCACTGCTGGATGAAACTCGTTCTATTATAAATATACACGATATGTTATAAATATACGCGAAAGGTTTATTTCCATTTTTCTTGAAATTTAAACGCGCCATAAAACGGAATAAAAATATTCTCAATACTTTATTCGAATATATTTGTCAGATCAGAGTAGAATACAGGTTTTTGTTCATCAATTTTCACGAATCTTTAGAATCATAAAATAAAATAGTATAGAGCACTAGCACCATCGAATGTTTACCTAAATCTTACTTATCAAAGTTATTATTTTTCGCGAGAATTGTTTTCAAAAATCCCTGTACGCTTTTCACGGTGCTTTACATTAAAAAAAAAAAAGGTAACAGGACCATGGTATGTTCCAACTTCGCCATTTACATTCTAAATATTCAATACCCAACAACACAGTTTTCAAAACGAAAACAAAGCCCTGCCTCATTCCTCCTCATCTACATTTATATACTCCATGCAAAAACATAAACCCTTTTCAAATATTTATTATTCTCCGTGAAAATCATATACGTCCAACAATAAATCCTCCATAAGGCCCATAGAAAAATTCGTTTGATATTAATTTATTTCGAATAATTCTAAAATTCCTAAAATTAATTCCACGTTAACCTATCAGCCATAAACATCTCTGCTATAGTCAGACAAATATTCGTTAGAATGATCGCAAGTAGCAGGATTCGCAGGACCATTTAATCGCTGTTATTCCCTAACCTCGAGCAAAGTGCAATTCGTCCTCGGTGTCCGATTGTCTCTTTCGCGGTTGTTTAATAAATTAATTCTACCTAGCAGATTCTGGTAATGGTCAGGAACTAATAGAAACAGGACTGTGACTCAAGTTATAATGCTTTCAATTAATAGTCCTGCCGCGAAATTGGGTCGACGGGTTAAAGCAATTTAATTGTTCTCGCCAACTATCGAGGAGAACTCACTTTTCGCCGAAACGTGACCACTCGTCGAACCCCCGAGGACTTATTAATGATAACACCGACAAGTGGCAACGGCCATTTCGAGGCCGAGCTTGCGGAAGATTCGTAGAGGGCTCGGGAGGATCGACGGGAGCGACATCTACGCTTTACTACGCTTTACTCGCCGCCATCTTGTCCGATAAACTTCCCATCGCCCCGAGAACTTCTTAACCTAAGATATTTCGGCAGTGAAGTCGAATTAACGCTAAACCTACCATAACCGGTCAAATGACGATGAAAAAAGGAACAAAGAAGAATCTCAAAAAATTAGAATAAGGGAAAATATCGAAAAATTGATTATATATACATTGAATGCAGAATTTTAAGTCAGAAGTTTAAAAATAGTCATTTAAACCATGGTAGATTTAGTGTTAAGAGGATCGAGTAAGTTTCAAACGAGACACTGGGTATATTCTACTTTCGCCAAGGAATATCAGTTAGTGGCGTATAATAAATGAATAAATTATAATTCAATGAATTTTATATCAGGATCTTCTTTACTTATTTAAGGAAAAATTCGCGAAGAATATGTTCCCTTTTTAATAATTCTTTATTAAATTAGGTTCAGATTGCCTTTGGTCTAAGCTTAAGTCTGCTTCTTTGCCATGGTGTATTCAAAATTGAAGTTACTTTTGGTATACAGGGAAGAATTTTGTAGAGCATGAATATTTACATACGTCTTATAATTAATTACACCATGGCACAATGAATAGACAAAAATGTGTCTGTACATTTTCAATATATACAACTGGTACATTTTTATACGGGGTTTTCTTCGATATATCTTATCAACATATTTTAATCGCATTTGCATAATTTTTAGAGAAATTTACCCATTTTTATCTTCAAGCACAGGAAACCGAGAAAAATTCAAAATCATCCGTACTTTAAATTCTTCTTTTTAGTAACCTGCTAATAAAGTTTTATATTTTGTCGCAAATTAAATGTTCTACGACTTCTTGGACAGTATGCATCTACCCTGTAGGAAGAGTTCAGGTGAAAATAGCGAGATATTACAAATCTGAGATCGAATATAGAATTTCTTCATAAAGAAAGAGTTGAAGTCTATGATGACACTTAAAAATTCGATTTAATTAGCGGTAATGTACACAGCAGGTCACAAGGAAACGAGGCTTTCAGGCGCAAGGTTCAACGAACTACGTTCCCTCTTCTTTTTATCGTCCCTGCTTGTGTTTATTCGTCTCTTTAAGGACACCTGACAGCTCTCCGCGTTGAGGAGTGAATTTAACAAGTTGCTCGAACCATTCAGCTTTGAGAGGTCATTAGTTTAAACGCGATAATTTTCTTTTTCACCCAAACGAACACATTTTCGAGCTTCTTCTCTGTTCCGTCTTCTCGTTTGAAAACCGCCACGCACAACTGTGCCCTGCCCTAACAAAACGTGTGTCCTTCGACGTGATTTAATCGGAGATACATTATGAGGAATACTCGAGGAACATGCACACGTTGCAATTTCGAATGGAAAAGTTACTTTGTATTCGCGGGTAACTTCTTGTCAGACTTTTAACGTTTCGACGTGGAACGTGTCACGAGAGAATTTCGCAACTGTTTCGAAACTTCGTTGAGAAAATTCAATTTCACGTTGAAATGATCGATAGTAAGGTCACGATTCTCGAAGGGGAAATCAAAACTGAGAGTACTTTATGTGTTTGGATATTACTGATTTTCAAATGAAAAATGTTTTCGAGTCAAACATTACAAAGTAAAATTCCATTTTATTTTAAAGACTGTAGAGTCGGTGTAAAAATAAAAAGCAATTAATATTAATTCGATATTACAACGATAAATTCGTAGAATAAATTTTATTTATTTTTATCGCTGATATTTAATTCTAACGTTCACACTAAACGTATCGGTATTTTTCACATACCTATTCTTACCATAGGGGTCATTAAATGACCCTTCGTGGTATATAAGGTATGCGAAGAATTTTATCTCGGTAAAAAATAAATTAAGAGAAAAACGGAAAACGAGAAATTAAACAATCAAGTAATATGAGAATTTACAGAAAGTCAGATGAGCGAAAGAAATAACAATGAATGTAAGATTTATAAAGTAAATTTTGAAAGGGGTCATTTAACCCTGCTTGTTACGTTTAGCGTTAATAGTTTCAAGTATACAAAGTGTTTCGATATTATTTTTATAAAGGAATCAGGAAATTGTTCAAGAATATATCGAGTCGATGCTTTGAAAATTTATTTTGTATTTCCGAGTAACGTGAGTTCCTTAGCTTTTAACTTAAGTCTTCGATAATTTAGAAGCATTCAAGACTAACGACGGAATGTGAGAATCGAGCGACTTAATCAGCGAAACAGATTAACTCGATCGCGCCAGAGGATTAGCTTCTCGCTTTATCCGTCGATTGCGAGATGAAAAATTAATCGAGTGACCTAATTAATTGTGCAATCATGTAAGGTGATGTAACATTACGAGTGAAACGCGCTCGACCATATTTGAACTATCGATTTTTCTTCCAATAAAGCACGTACACTCGGTGATCTTTTATTTTCTTCGTCGTCTGCATAGATCACGATCCTCTTTTCACTTTCTCATCCGTTCAGTAATGTTAGAACGAGTTGATTCGGTAATTTATGAGTATCGCACGATGTCTCTAACGTCATCGACGAATTTATATCTAAAAATTGTTCGAATATACGAATGGAATTATTTTTAAACTTCTTTACCTTCGCATTGTATCGTTTATTAAATATTCCAGATTATTTAACAATAATTTATGCGGACGTCGAACGCAGTAATTTTAACCTTTGACAGAATTTCGATGATATTTATAATTAATTTATGTAAATTTCAGCCGAATTTAAATTAGCACCTGAAATTCAATTCTCGACGATCAATAGGAGTGAATTGAAACTGCAACGTTTCTAGAAATTTATTTATTTAAAGTTTATTAAATCCGGCAACCGTATGAGCACGAGGATAAACACGATCTC